TATTCTGTCCTTTTGGTGAAGTCAGCCGGCAGCTTGATGTATAGGCATTTAGGCTGTCGACCTTCGCCTCCAATTCCACCCATCGCTTAGCCCTGTTCTCTACGTTTGTGGTGGTTAGGTTTACCTGTAATAGTCTGTGATAGCTGTTCCAGTCGGTCCTCCTAGGATTCCTACTGGGCGTGGCTCTATTCATGGAGATCTCTAGGGAAAACTGTTTGATCCTATGATCCGACATTGATGGCTCCGAGGAGACCCTCCAGTCCGAGATCAAATTATCCGCCCAGGTGTTCCCAAGAGTAACGTCCAGAACTTCCTCTCTTACCCTAGTTACAAAAGTGGGCTTATAACCTACATTGCAAATACTAAGGTCCTTACTTAATATAAAGNGGTCCTCCTAGGATTCCTACTGGGCATGGCTCTATTCATGGAGATCTCTAGGGAAAACTGTTTGATCCTATGATCCGACATTGATGGCTCCGAGGAGACCCTCCAGTCCGAGATCAAATTATCCGCCCAGGTGTTCCCAAGAGTAACGTCCAGAACTTCCTCTCTTACCCTAGTTACAAAAGTGGGCTTAAACCCTACATTGCAAATGCTAAGGTCCTTACTTAATATAAAGTCTAGTAGAAGCTCACCCCTTTTATTGGTGTCAGTGCTGCCCCACTGTACATTATGTGCGTTGGCATAACATCCAATAACCAATGGAAGGCGCAGCTTCTAGCTGTACTCTACTAGTCCTCTGACTTCCTCCGGTGGTATGGCGGCATCCCCTGCGAAGTAAGCCGAAGCAAAAACTACTTCTCTTGCCTGTCCGTTGAGATTCACCGTTAGTTGGATTGCCACCAGATCTCTCGTTAAAAACTCTGAAATGCAGAAGTAATTAGTCTCCTTCTTTAACATAACACAGGTTCTTGGGTTATCACATGATAAATCCCAGATTACCTTGATAGACTTCTCCGTCAGGCCCTTCACCTGNTTCTTGGGTTATCACATGATAAATCGCAGATTACCTTGATAGACTTCTCCGTCAGGCCCTTCACCTGACCTTTATACACCCACGGCTCTTGGACTAAGACTATGCCCAGATCCTCCGAAGTGAACTTTCTTGTGATGACTGCAGATGCAGCTACCGCGTGATGGAGGTTAATCTGGGCAATCCCAAGGCGTGGTGTTATCCTCAATTTTTACAAGTACAAGTACAAAAAAAGATAGGTAAAACCTTTTATCAATATTATAACCGAAATGCCTTTAAGGTTAGTTCCTCTATGTTAGGAGTTATTTCCTGTGCTGCAGCTAAACGCATTACATTCTTTAAATTAGTGTCAGAAATTCGATTTCTTAACCTACTTTTATTAAGTTTCATTAAGGAAAAAAATTGTTCGCATGAGTATGTGGAGCCAAACATTGCTATTACTTCTGCAGCAAATAAACGTAAATTTGGAAATTTTGCATTACAAATACCTTTATAGAAATCAGCAATGCAAGTCGATTCTCTATACTCAGCTTTCAATCGGGTATCACATTGCAAATCGATCAATTCCATTTGTAAATGCCGCGGTGCATCAAAAGAATCGAAAGCAAAAGGCACGGCGAACATAACTCAATAAATCGTTCCAGAAATTCTTTTTCAAGGTTTTCAAGCTCTTCAACATATTTTTGTACATCTATGTCTTGGTTTCCAGTTAGCGTTTGTAAACACGGAAAGAAATTGAAATTTTTAACATTTAGCTGCCGTTTCCATAACAATAGTTTTTTCTTGAATGCTTCGATTTCGTCGTTCATGTGGAAAATAAGTTTTTTTCGGCCCATGAGGGAAGAATTTAACGCATTCAAGTGTTGAGTTACATCCGTCATGAAAGCTAAGTCTGCTGTCCAGTCCAAGTCAAGCAGCTCAGGAAAACGCTTTCCTTTCTCTTCCTATGAAAACCAGCACTTAGCTCAAAAATGGAATTGTTCAGTGTAATTACTCACCAAAAAAACATACACATATTTTCGCAACTCAAAGAAACGATTCAGTGTTGCACCACGACTCAACCAGCGTATCTCACTATAATACGGAATATCTGTATGTTCGCANCGATCCAGTCATGGCTTTTGCCATGGCAAACCCATGCGTTCAGCACATTTGTCCACGCAGTGGAAAAGATCTTCGCCTTTAGTGGTCCCTTGCATTGGAATAATATCCAGAA